AGGACCTTTCATTTCAAAAGGCCTATAGGTCATCGAGTTTGTATTTTCATGCAGCTGGATCTGTTGTCTGTCTTTTTAAATAGAGAGCTCCTTTGGTGTTTGTGACTACGGTTTTGTTTTAGCGATATTCTGCGAAATCTACATTGAACTACAAGGAGTGACCCAAGAGCAGGCCGGCTGGAGGAGACCAGAGGGCTACCTAGCCCAGCCTCCTGCTTGCCAAGGCAGCCCTTCCAGGTGACTACGGGCAGACCGTGAGAGCAACAGCTCTCCTACTCCTGTTCTCTAAACTGGGAAATCAATGTCCCAAGGCAAACCAGGAAGTGGATTCATGGCTATGTAGTCAGTGAACCAAGGTTGACTCCCAAGGCTACAAGGTTCACGCAGTGCCGTGCACAGGATCCCTCTGTGAAGAAGACAGCGCATGGCTGCGTAACAGGCTTGTCTTCTTTTTTTGGCTTAAGAGGCTCTCCACTCATGTGGACATGAAAGGAAAGATAGTCATTTCCAAGAAATTTTAGTCTCTTGATCCATGAAAAATAACCAGAAAACCCCCCCCCCAATGTGATTAAGGCATGCTGGGAGCGGAGAAACGCAGGAATGCCTCCTGGTGTTTTTCATTCCTGCCTGATAAGTTTCAAGTAGAAAACTCTAAATGGGGGATTTATAAAGCTTTGTGCTCCTTCTTCTGCTACCTCCTGCTTGGTAGAAGACATCCTGTCCCTGACATGGAAGACTGTTAAAATTCAGGCTTCTCCTAGATTTTCCTTGAGTTGAAGGCTGAGCTGGCGTCCATCATGGATCAGGCTGGGGTACTCTTTCCCCCAAAACTGGGGTGAGATGTCCCCAGCAACAAGGCATCTTTTTCTCCTGCTGTTGCGTACAACTGGTTGTTAAGCACCCATATCTGCCCAAAACTGAGCCCAATTTTATCCCCAGATTGGAAAAAAAAATCATATCCCCAGGTGCCTGTGGAATATGGTTGGCCACTGTTATGTGTCCCCCCCCCAGAAAAGGCCTTAAAAAGAAAGACAGCTAGAAAGAAACATAAATATTTGGGATTATATTGGGGAAGGACAAAAATGCCCCTCTTTGACCTGAGTAAATCTGCCCACCCCTGCTTTCAGATGATGCCTCGCTAGACTTCCAACCCTGACACCAACTCCTTCATTTACTTGAGCTCCTCCAGTAATATAATAATAAAAGATGTGACATGACTGATAACCACTATCTTAATAGAGCTTTATGATCACTCTTGGTGCAGCTTTTTCCCCAACCTAACTGCCGCCTCCCCCCCACCCCAAAAAATATCCTGTAACACAGACAAAAAATGAGCTACAGGACATGTACAAGAAAAAAAAACTCTCTTATCAATTCTGCTAAACTTAATTTCATCCCTTCATTCTTGGCCAACCCGACAGAAAGTCATTTCCTATTTCCTTCTGACCTTCTTAAGAGAAGAATGCAAGCTTTCCTTGCCTGCTTATTTTGTTTATATGTTTCCATTCTTCTCATTCCTTTCTGACATTAAATTGAGGGAAGTATATGTGATTTCCAGCACCAGTGTCCTTTATTACAACTGCCCTATATGAAGATTAAGATGAGAACACAGAAACCGTTCAAGGCGACTTGTAGGCCTGGCACTGAGGTTTCTGTCTCCATTTCCTGCCAAGATGAATCTAGGGTCCAGTCCAGAATCCTTTCTTCTCCTCTCTTCCACAACCCATAAGGACCTTGGGTGTACATGAGGAAAGACTATGAGAATTGGGCATGTTGAGAAAAGAAGACTGAGGGGGAGATACGATAGCACTTTTCAAATACTTGAAAGATAATCACACAAAGGAGGGCAGGATCTGTTCTAGATAAGCCCAGAGAGCAAGACACATAAGAATGGAGTCAAGCTACAGGAAGCCAGAATTAGGTTGACTATCAGGAAAAAAAACTTCTCAACTGTTACAGCAGTATGACAATGGAAGCAATGACCTCCGGAGGTGGTGAGTTCTCCAACTTTAGAGGGGTTCAAGAGAAAACTGGACAACCATCTGCCAAATCTACTTTGATTGGGATTCCAGCCTTGAGCAGGGGGTTGGACTCAATGACCTTATGGGTCCCTTCCAACTCCATGATTCTATTCCCTGATTCTACATTTGATGCTAACCAAATGTGGCTTCAAGTTCCTTAAGACAGCTTTCAGTTTATTCTGAGGTACTGTACAACCTTAAGGAAATTCAAGCCATTTCTAACACCCCAGTCTGCCCGTGATGGGAAAGAAAGCAGAGGGTTCCACTAGGATATTCGAAGCAAACAGCACCCTTGTTCCAACATTGCTGTTGCTTCTCTCATTCTCTGCTCCTCTCCTCTGTATCTGTTTCCATAGCTCAGTGTTTTCCCAAGCTTGCTAATCAGCCAACCTTGTCATGCATGTGCAAAAGGGAGCCTTGGATTACAGGGAAGGTTCTTCAATGGGTTCTCTCAGGCAGGATTAACCCCATGCTTGTCCGAGGAGAGACAATATGCCCTAGCACCATCACGGAATCAGAGACAGACAAGGCATGGCACAGTGAGGTAATGTCTAGAAATTGCAGAGCACGAGTTCAGGGAAAGATAACATTGCCTGGAGATAGTGATTAGGAAAACAAGAATGAACACAGGGTGGAGGGATAAGACTCAAGGGGTGATGAAATCCAGATGAGGAGCAAACAAGGCATAAAGCTACAAGCAATGCGAAACAGCAAGACAAGTCTGCTGGATGTTCTAGGACAAGATCTTTTGTGATCATTTGCAGAAAGAAAAGAAATCAGTTTAGGGGGTTGAAGAAAAATGACCTCCTCATGAAATGAGATGACTGATGATGGACAAACTGAAACCTAAAGCGAAGTCCTGTCAGTCGTAATGGAAGTTTTTGCCACTTGCAAAACCATGGCCATTGTGCAAGAGCAGTGGTTTCCAGGAAGAAAACCTGCCTTTGGCCTGCAGGACAGAAGCACCTGCACAGATTTTACCATCCCACTCTATTATGTAGCTTTCTGAGCAGAAGCTCAACAATGTACCGGCTGACACGACTGTTAATGACTGCTCAAAGCATTTGAAAGCATGTTATTCTCTGTTGCCCTCGCCACAGCCTTCACACAGAAAAACCCAGTCTTACTTACAAATGCTCCCTCTCTCTGTTCCCCACACATGGATACACTGCTTTTCTCCCAGAACAGTACAAACCCCAAAGTGATCAGGAAGTTGTGCACTTACATGGTATAGGAGTATAGATGGGCACAAACTGCCCGTTTGTTTACTGTTGCAACAAATGTTCGTTAGTTCAACACTCTGCCCCCTCCAGCAGACACCCAGGCAGAAGCAGAGTCCTGGCTTCCTTTGCCCTCTTCCTCCAGGTGCTGTTTCTGAGTGGGTGCCCAACAGAGGAGGCAGGGCGCCAAACACCTACTAGGGTGGTAGACAAATGGGCACAAACTGGTTCATGTCCATCTCTATATAAGAGCTTTACTAAATGAAGAACAAGGAAAAGACTATGTGGTCCTCAAGATTACACGCACTTTTGCATTAATAAATGAAATTAGGAATAAATTTAGAACTTCCAGAATAAAAAGAAGGGGGAAAGGGTCCCCTTTAAAAAGCCCTAAAACGTTTTACCGCTGAAAAGAGAACGATGCCCAAATTACCCAACTACCAAGGAGAGAGGCTTTCAGTTTTTCAGCAAAGTGTCAATGTTCTCTGCTATGACTGTGGGAAAAAATCCACAATGTTAAGGGGGAAAAAAAACCTCAGGCAGGGAATTAAAAGTAGAGCGGCCCATCACAATGTTGTCACATAAAACTACACTATTCGAGTGGAGCAACCATTCCCATAAGGGAGGGAAAAATGCTCCCAGGAAGCTTCTGTGCAAGAACCTTCAACTTTCTGCAAGAATTGGTAAGTTTGGAGCACAGCTTCTCCTGGCTGAAAATGGTCTTCTGGAGCCTCTTGCCAAGAAACCAAAACAATTGGCATTTTGAACGTGTGGCCTCCATTCTAACAAAAAAGATGTCAGCTTAGTTGTCTTGTGACAACAGAACATGACTGTCTGTGGCCTTTTCTGGAAGAAGGGATGTCTTGTGTTCCTCGATGTTAATCCATTCCATTTTCGCTTTACGTAACATCCCACAGAACAGTGGTCCCCAACCGAGGGCCTCCAGATGTTCTTGGACTACAACTCCCAGAAGCCTTCACCACCACCTCTGCTGGCTAGGATTTCTGGGAGTTGAAGTCCAAGAACATCTGGAGACCTAAGGTTGGGGACCACTGCATAGAACACATTAAATTCGTAAACCGAGGTACTACTGTATATGCTTTGCACTGAACCTTTACCACCTGTACAGTGGTGCCTTGCTAGACGATGTTAATCCATTCCATTGAAATCGCTGTCTTGTGAAAACATTGTCTAGCGAAAAGCGTTTCCCCATTGAAATGCATTGAAATCTGTTTAATGGAGGAAAATCGTCGTCGGCCAGCGAAAATAGCCCATACGGAAGCCATTTTGCGAAGCGCCAATCAGCTGTTAGAATCGCTGTCTTGCGAAGCTTCGGTCCCCAAAACACCCATTTTGCGAAGATCACCCATAGGTAAGCCATTTGGTGGAGCCGCCAATCAGCTGCAAAAATCGTCGTCCTGCGAAAAATGGTCTGCAAAGCACGGACCAGCCCATCGTCCAGCGAAATTCCCCATAGGAAACACCATTTTGCGAATTGCTATAGTGATCACAAAAAGTCAACGTCTAGCAAAAAAAACGTTTTCGGGGTGATCGTCTTGCGAGGTACCACTGTATTTCAAAGCCACAGAGTAGGCAAAGACTCAATGGTGGACAAAACAACCGAGAAATTCAAATTGGCTGTTAGTATCCAGACAAATCTTGGAGAAGTTTCTTTTTGGGACTACGACTCTCAGAATCCAACACCTGTGATTTTCTAAGCTCTCCTTTCAGAGCACTTGGCCCGCCTGTAGTCACTTACCTGCGGCCGGCAGATCCAACTTGGCTCGCTTCAGCTCCGCCATGGAGCTTTGGAGCTGCTCTATCACAAAGTCATCTTCAAAAAAGAAATCTTTGGCAAGAGTTTCCTGAAGAAATTGTATAAGCTCCTCCATTTGCAATTTCATCAGGTGTTCTAGGGTGGGAAAAAGAGGATAATACAATATCAGAAGCTAGGGACCGCAGTGGAAGCGAAGATGTCCTCTCTCTTTTTGGCTCTATAGGAGATAAAATAAGATAAAAATCTTGAAGTCAGTTCTACTCGCTGAACGTGAATTGAAAAGAACTCTAGAATCCTGAGTCACTCAGGGTAGAAGGTTGTGTTACAAAAAGCCTGTGGTTATTACTTCCCTTCCAGAACATGTTTCTTATGAATGGAGACTCTGGCTGGAAATGAAGACAGATCAGGTCCCTGATAAGCAAGAGGAGGGAACGCAGCATGCGTGACTGATGTTTGTATATAGCAGAAGTGAAATAAACAACCAATGCATTTCAGGCCAATGAGAACTGATGGGCATGAACGACACTTTCACAGTTTGTCCCAGTTTGGACAGCACCGACACAGACGTTCCAGGGGCACCGTGTGCTTTCCCCTGCCTCCTCCGGGCAACTGCCCACTCAGAGGTCGTGCCACAGGCTTCTCTGCCCCACCTTGTTGTCTGAGAGGCCAACCGCTGGAGGAGGAAAGGACATGATGCTGCCTCTGAGTGGGCAATCGCTCGGAGGAGGCGGAAGAGGGAAGTGCCCGGAGCCCACAGAACACTTGTCTGGGTGCCATGCCACAGCGTGGTTCATGCCCATCTTCATATGGAATGGCAAGAAGCTGGGCAGCTGAGGTGGGGAGGGAGCCAGAATACAGAGTGGGAAAGCAAAGTGCCCTTCTGAAATGCGATGGCAGGCTGCAAGTTTGGAAAAGAACAGGCCTGTTAAGAGAGAAAACACAACGTACCATATTTTTCTGTGTATAAGACGCCCCCCATTTTTCTAATCCAAAATTAAGAAATCTAAGTGGGGCTTAGCAAGTGTAGGGGGAAAGGGATCAAAGCGCTGCAGGATTGCTTTGATCTCTGCTTTCACCTCCACTTGTTTTTCTCTCCTCAGCTTACCTCCGTGTATAAGACGACCCTCAATTTTAGTCTAAAGATTTTAGACAAAAGTATAGTCTTATACACAGAAAAATATGGTATCATACTAGTTGAAATTCACAGCCTTCCATGTTCCATGACACTTAATGTGTCAAGATGCAGGGAAGTGTGTGGAGCTAATTTTCTCCCCTGAAATCCTCCAAGGGCTGCACAGACCACCAAAAATGCCCCAAAAAGGAGTCAGGAAAAGGCTGGGTGGTTGCAGAAAACCATCATTAAGAGCTCCACTTTGCCCACTACCCAGTAAAACCTTATGACATAATATCATGTTCTTTCCCCCAAGCTCCGCTTCACCTAAAGGGGGAAAAATGCAGGATAGAGAATGGTGTTTGCAAGGGTGTATAAGGTATGATTTATCTCCTTTGAGAACTTCTGACAGCCCCTCCATCCAGTTTTTTGACTCCTCTCTACAACGTGCCTCTAGGAAGAGGGCAGCAGAGAGGGTTTGGACGCCCAGGAAGCCGGCACCCGGCATGGAGTTTGGGGCGGTGTAGGAAGCCCAGGAGGCTGAGCCTCCCTTTTCCTAACTGTTGGGGCGAAGAAGCAGCCTCTTCACCACCAACAGTTCGAATTCCCTGCTTTCCCCCCTGCCTTTTTCTTTTTGTAACTGGAAGCTCCGGCCGCAAGTAGAAGCAAAATTTTACGGCCGGAGCTTTTCGTAACTCGAAATGTTCGTAAGTAGGGACATTTGTAAGTCGATGCCCCACTGTAATTAAGAGCCCTTTGAATGCAGCAGATATCCATTGTAATTGTTTATGGTCATGAGAGTCTTCTCAATAGTTGTTATTGTGGTTTTTGAGATAACCAGAGATACGCATCCATAAACTCGTGAAACCTACAGGAAGGGGGAAACAAAATCAGTAGTGGGGGGAAAGTACTGATGTGTTCTGAGAAATATCCAAGTGGAGACAAATGGCTATTATCCCAAATGTATTTATTTATTTATTCGATTTATATCCCACCCATCTGGTCTGGTCGACCACTCTGGGCGTAGCTCTACTGGCTTAACTGGAGTGACCAGAGATGTGCCATTTGGGTTTGGGTTATTTTGGGATGAGGGGTACAAATCCCAGAATTCTCCATTCTGGGACTCTTACCTGTCAGGTAAATACTTGAATATGGCTCACCTGGAAGAAAGGCTGATGGGGGAAGGCTTTGTGGCCTAGCAAAGACCTAGCTTCTTGTTCAAATAGAAGCTCTCAGCAAATACTGGGGTAACTTCCTTTTTGAACAGGAAGCTAGAAGGAGCTAGGCTTATACTAGGCTACCAAGCCTTCCACCATTAGCCTTTCTTCCAGGTGAGTCACATTCAGGTGTCCATGAGTGGGTGTCTGTCAGATAGGATTCTCACAATGAAGAATTCTGGGATTTGTAGTAAACAAAGTGTATCCTCGGAGTTGCATTCCCAGCAGCGTCAGATTGCTTCAAATTCAAGAGTTCCTCCTTCAGTTGTTAGTTGTGCATGACTTTGTCTCATTGCATGCAAGTGGGAGAAACTCTTTAATTTAGCTCCCATCTGTCACTGCTGGTGATCGTCATTCCCATTATATCAATAGAGCTATGGAACGGGATACCAGCTATGGTTAAAACAAACAAACAAACACAGTTTCAACTTCAAATCCCTTCAGATGACAATTTATTGTTTACAGTCAAGGACAGAGTTCTTACTTCTGTGCAGTTTCAAAACGGTGTAAGACATTGCAGTGAGAACCCGTTCTCCTTCAAGTATATAGACGTCCCAGATCCTGAGGGTTAACGTGAAGGGCGTCTGCAACGAAACTACCAGGTCAGGAGAAACACAAACAAATTTTGAATCTAAAACACAAAACATGTGCTTGGATGATGAGGGAGGCAAAGGGAATTCAAACCATCAGGGGTACTCACACGGTCAAGGAAACACTGGAAAAACCACTTCATTGTGTAAAAGCTAGTGCTGATCTCCTGGGCATCCTGCCAAGAAGAAACCGTTTATGAACCTCTGTTAAGAAACATAATCTCGTGCTATCTAGCATCCAATAGACAATGAACTCCAAGTTGAATGGCAAGCGTAGAGTCTAAATTTGACTGATCTCCGTGACATTTTGCTCTCCCCCGTTTTGAAAAAACAAGCTCTGTCTGGAGAATGGTGATAGCCAGCATTAGTAAAGTTAGCTGGAAATTAGAAAATACAGTTCCACTGGCTTCTCTAAATCTTTCAATGGCAGTCAGTAACCCTGGATGTAGGATCTTTCTGAGATGTTTAGCTAGCATTGGATATCAGACAGCAACTGTGTTGTGGTTTCAGTCCTCGGAAGCAGAGTTAAGGGGATCACTGCTCAGCTACTGGGGCTTTGTCTTACAGCCTCAAGCTCTTCTGCCTACTCTGAAATGAGCTTTCTTTTGTCCAGCATATGGGTCTCACTGATATGCTGACACTCATCTTTAGCTCTCCTTTTCAAGGAGTATCAAGGCAGCTGTGGAGTTAATTAGAAAGAACTAAGGGCTGGATGTGGGTTCCCAAGACGAAGCTGAATCCAGACAAGACTGAAGTACTGCCAGTTAGTTAGTATTAAGGATTGGGAGTACAACATGTTCTGGGTGGGAATTGCACCCCTTCTGAAAGGTCAGTTTCAGACATTGCAAATGATAGTTGATTTAGCGTTGCTTACGGGGGTCAAGCTGGCTGTTGTGCCAGCTGCAACTTCTAGCTGTGAGAAGTGGATTTCTGTCTGGAGAATGGTGATAGCCAGCATTAGTAAAGTTAGCTGGAAATTAGAAAATACAGTTCCACTGGCTTCTCTAAATCTTTCAATGGCAGTCAGTAACCCTGGATGTAGGATCTTTCTGAGATGTTTAGCTAGCATTGGATATCAGACAGCAACTGTGTTGTGGTTTCAGTCCTCGGAAGCAGAGTTAAGGGGATCACTGCTCAGCTACTGGGGCTTTGTCTTACAGCCTCAAGCTCTTCTGCCTACTCTGAAATGAGCTTTCTTTTGTCCAGCATATGGGTCTCACTGATATGCTGACACTCATCTTTAGCTCTCCTTTTCAAGGAGTATCAAGGCAGCTGTGGAGTTAATTAGAAAGAACTAAGGGCTGGATGTGGGTTCCCAAGACGAAGCTGAATCCAGACAAGACTGAAGTACTGCCAGTTAGTTAGTATTTAGGATTGGGAGTACAACATGTTCTGGGTGGGAATTGCACCCCTTCTGAAAGGTCAGTTTCAGACATTGCAAATGATAGTTGATTTAGCGTTGCTTACGGGGGTCAAGCTGGCTGTTGTGCCAGCTGCATCTTCTAGCTGTGAGAAGTGGATTTAGACACGATTATATGATATATTCTTTATGTATGTTTTAGTTACTTCCCACTTAAACCACTATGAAGTCTTTGCAATACCCATGAAAAGTATTTGGAAACTGAAGCTGGTGTAGAATTTGGCAGCCATGTTGCCCTTTGTCATAGATGTTTAGACAACACTACACAATGCACTAGTTTCTAACAGGCACTCAAGTGGATGCTCTGCCAGCATTATTTTTATTCTTGGGGAAAGCAAATTCAGCCATAATGCTATGATATAGGTTCCAGCAGGGCTTACTTATTAGGCCCTACACTGCTCAGGGCCAAGGGATTTGTAAGATAACTTGCTCCCATACCAACTTGCCATCAGATCATTCCATTATGGATCCCCTAACTAAAACAACCTTGGTTGGTGAGAATGTGGGATCTCGTAAGTGGATAATGGTAAAAGTAGCAATCATATGAAGACTCCTGAAAGATTTAGTACGTGGCTCTCTGCTCCTACGACTTTGGACAGCCCTATTCTGTAATGCTAAAACATTCATTTACACCACTGGTGGACAAGCAGCCCATTTTATTTGCTATAGTGGTGGACAACACACAGCCCATCATGCTGTCTCAGAGCTCTTCCTAAAAGATGGGATTTTTCCAGCTAAATAAAATCCCTCCAGTGCAAACCCCGGTGCATCTTGTTTATATATATGCTTATTACATTAAGTACAAGCGTTATGAATTGTGTGTGTGTGTTCCTATAGCAAAAAGCAAAGCCTGTTGCTTATATACCATCCCATAGTGCTTCAAGCACTCTCTGGGCAGTTTACAAGTTAATTACGCAGGCTATACATTGCCCCCCCAGCAAATTGGGTACTCATTTTACTGACCTCGGAAGGATAGAAGGTTGAGTCAACCTTGAACTGGCTATCTGGGATTGAACCCCGGGTCGTGAGCACAGTTTTGGCTGCAGTACAACAGTTTAACCACTGCACCACGAGGCTCTTCAAGGGTGGGGGTTCTTGATTTTTATTTATTTAAGTAAACAAATTAATTATTTAATTATTAAATAGATAAATAAACAATTTCATTCTTTAGTAGTAGCTAATAAAGTTATTAAAAAGTTAATTAACCATTTTGCCTGAACTCCATTGAGAGAACAGCCCATGAAAATTGGTCTTGAGTTTAAACAAACAAATGAACAAAGATATTTCTAGGCAGTTAGTTCTATTTTTAATTAAGTTTTTCTGAGTGGGAGCTTACGATATATATATAGTAGCATTTTGTTTACTTTAAACTAGTACCATCAGCTATCCAGAATCTAATCCTCAGGTTAGAAAACCTTGTGTATTAAAGCAAGAATACGTTCAACATTTTTATGCTGCGGGAGACAAACTCGTATGAAACTAAAGCAATAAGCAGCAATGACCTACAGTGTAAACCTGGTATGAACTCTGCTGCGAAAATTGAAGTCACACTTTACAGCAGAGTCTCAAATCTGGAAGTCATGTCTGCCTTCGGCAACCAATAAAAAAATCTCTGTTTCTGCTCGGTCACCCAACCCACATCTTTTATTATACAGTATATCATTCTATATGTATTGAAAGGGGAAACCAATGTGGTGCTCATGAACCGGCTCCCACAAATATTTGATTTTCCAGCCATTTAGCAGAAATGAAGTCACTGAATCCAGCTGAATCTCCTCCCCAGTAAAAGTGCTCTCAAGTCTGCAGCCTAAGGCTACTCTCTAACAAGTTTATATGTAGAAAGTAGACATCAAATCTCATGAAACAGAAAAGGAATGCATTACACATCCTGATGGCAATAGACTATGTTTCATAACCTCTCAATACAGTGGGCCAAACGAGAGGTCGGAACCTTGCAGCCGGTTGGTAACATGCTCAATCTTGATTGAAATCGATAGGATTTTTGTGTGTGGACCTGAACACCACTGGAGACCTTTCTGTACAGGACACACTTGGTTATTTTAAAAAGCATGTTTATTCCTCAGATTTGGTTTGTCCTCACAGTCTTTCCTAAACTGAAGAAATCATGGAACTGCCCTCTTTTGCAACGGCAGGCATCTAAACAAGGACATGACAATTTCTTGGTGTTTTGACCCAACTAATGTCTGCTGTGCATATATATCAGGGCTTTACTTCCTAAGCCTAGTTGGGGGCATTCTTTTCTATTCTTTGTATACTTATTGTTAAAGCTTTACATTTTCTCTTTCAATGATGTAAGCCGCCTTGGGTGTCATTTAAGGAGAAAAATGGGGGCACATACATACACACATACACACACACACACACACACACAGAGAGAGAGAGAGAGAGAGAGTGAGAGATTAGACTAGATAGATAGACAGATAGATAGATAGATAGACAGATAGACAGACAGATAGATAGATAGATAGATAGATAGATAGATAGATAGATAGATAGATAGATAGATAGATAGATAGATAGATAGATAGATAGATAGATAGATAGATAGATAGATAGATAGATAGATAGATAGACAGGAGCATAGTATTATAGGAGTTGTGCTCCTATAGATCTGGAGGCCAGCAGCTTGCAGAAGGTTGCTAATGAAACTACTTCAAAGCTTCCCCAGACACCAATGTAAGTACCGTATTTTTCGCTCCATAAGACGCACCTCTCCATAAGACGCACCAAATTTTTATGCAAAGAAAACAGGAAAAAATAATCTGGGAATTTCGCTGCATAAGACGCATACACTTTTTCCCCAATGTTTTTTGGGGGGGGGGAAGTGCGTCTTATGGTGCGAAAAATACGGTAGCTTGGATATGAACGAAATATCTCTTGGATCTTCTCCCCATAAACATCGCCTTTTATCATTATGATATCTTGATGACATTTACTTACAAAATGCTGCTTAAGTTTAGACAAAAATTTCTTCATTATTTTGTCGTGATGCTCTTGAAACCTCAACAGCTTGGGGAAACCAGGAATAAAAAACCCTAAAGCATAAAAGAATTTTAAAAAATGAAAACACCCATAAATTCCAACAAAGGATATTCACAGCTTTTGGAAACTATTTGTTTTCAGACAAATCTAACTCCTTAAATGGCTTTTAGAATAATCAAAACAACACACAACATTAAAGACAACACAATCTTCGGTGGTAAATACTTATATGGAGTAAATATCACACTTTTTCCTCAAATGCAGCTACGGTGATAGGGAAAATGCATAAGGCTGTAGATTTCACAGTAGGGCTATTTGACTGGTGTGGTGTTATCAACAGAGACTCAAAACTCAAAAACAGTAAATTCCCATGTCACAGCATGCTGAGATATTAGAAAAATAATAATCGCTTTCCATTTCAACCCATTTCAACCCCACTTTGTGAGCAGAAATTTTTATTATCTGCATATGGGAGAGTGGAGGAGACCAGCACATGAGCTTGGGGTCCTGCTCGTAAAACTAAACCAGAGGTGGTGAAGTACTGGGATGCATTCTTCACCACCTCTCAAAGTGTTTGCAGTGCTGTCGCTGAAATCTGGCAAAGTGGCAGCAAAAAAGAATAAGGTTGCCTTTTTCCAAATTCCTGCTGTTGATTCCCCTGTTTTGTGGAAGAGAAGTAAAGACTTCCCGTGGGCTTTCAGGGATAAAATTCTCCTCTAAAACAAAGTGGATACTCCCAATGCAACGTCTTTTAGTGTAAAAGTTGTTTTCACTCCCAATGCAACGTCTTTTAGTGTAAAAATGGTTGTTTTGTTTGTTTTTTTAAATCTGCCAGATTAGGATTAGGCATCCTTCAGTCTCGCAAGACTAGGGTAATGATTAGGCATCCTTCAATCTCGCAAGACTAGGGTAACGTGCCCTGTATGGAGAACTTGGAACAGCGTCTAGTGTGGCTGAGAAGGCCAATTTGAGAGTGACAATCCCTTCCACACTGAAGACAAATACAATCTGTCCCCTGTCCAGCTCCCTGGTTTTGCTGCTTTCGTGACTGCCTCTTTGCCTCGGCCTGCTGGACAAGGGTCTCTTCAAATTGGGAGAGGCCGTGATGCAATGCCTGCCTCCAGGCTGGACGCTCAGATGTCAAGGTTTCCCATCTGTTGAGGTCCATTTCTAAGGCCTTCAGATCCCGATTGCAGATATCCATGTATCGCAGCTGTGGTCTCCCTCTGGGGCGATTTCCCCCCACTATTTCTCCATACAGGAGATCTTTTGGAATCCAACCCTCAGCCATTCTCACATTTCCGAGTCAACATGGACGTCGCTGTTTCAGTAATGTATGCATGCTAAATATTCCAGCTCGATATAGGACTACTCTATTTGGAACTTTGTCCTGACAGGCACCTCACCTCAATGGCTACACATTGTTGCTCCATGTTCGAAATCATCATTTGGTATTACCTACAAACACTGATGCCACGACTGGTTCATTGCATTAATGCTTCTGTGCCTCTGTGATCTTTTAGCCTCGATTCAAAAAAGTATGGGAGCTGGCTTTTTTGGCAATCCCATACTTCCACTCAATGACAGATTGGTGAAAGCTAAGACATGCAATGGCTACACATTGTTGCTCCATGTTCGAAATCATCATTTGGTATTACCTACAAACACTGATGCCACGACTGGTTCATTGCATTAATGCTTCTGTGCCTCTGTGATCTTTTAGCCTCGATTCAAAAAAGTATGGGAGCTGGCTTTTTTGGCAATCCCATACTTCCACTCAATGACAGATTGGTGAAAGCTAAGACATGACATTTGCCCTGATGTTGAGGTACAGTGGTGCCTCGCATAGCGACGTTAATCCGTTCCAGATTAATCGTCGCTATGCGAAAACATTGCTGAACGGAACGGAAAAAGCCATAGGAACACATTAAACTTTGTTTAATGTGTTCCTATGGAGGATAAACTCACCGTTCAGCGATGTTCCTCCATAGGGGCGGCCATTTTCGGTGCCTCTAAAGCGAGGCAGCACAGCCGGTCTGCCATTTTGGAACCGCCGACCAGCTGACCGAAAATGGGGCTTTTGGCATTTTCCCCCAGCTGAGTGGCGGGAGCTTCAAAGCCCCGCCGCTCAGCTGGGCGAAAATGT